ATAGAGTATCATGTCATCTGCAAATAATGACAATTTGACTTCTTCATTTCCCATCTTTATTCCTTTTATTTCTTTCTCTTGTCTAATTGCCATGGCTAATGTTTCCAAAACTATCTTGAACTGGATTGGTGATGGTGGACATCCTTGTCTTGTTCCTGATTTTAGTGTGAAGGATTTCAGTTTTTGAAAAAAATATATATATAATTTTTATTTGTCAAATATACCTCAATAGGCTGATAACTTTAAAAAAATAAGTATGAGACTTATATACTCAAATCTATCAAAGGAGTATATAGGCTGCTCAACCAAAATCTGTCATTTGGTATAAAAATCTTACAGAAAATTTACTTTTTAATGACTTCACTAATGATAAGGTTTCATTAGTATCCAGAAAATATCCTCAAATACTTTAGAAATCATGTGATTTCTCTAATATTAATTTCTGTAATATAATTTCCTTTAACAGTCATGTTAAAATTTAAACATTAAGTAACATTTTAGCACAAAGCATGTTGTTGTTAGTTTCTTAGCAATTTTATGCTGACTTGTCTACTTATAATAACTAATAAAATATAACAAGTATGATGGTACAATCATAGACTAAAATATTAGAAATCTCCATATTTTAGGTTTATCACTCAATCACGGAGTTAGTTTTTTTTTAATATGTAAGTTCTGAAAATGTATAACACAATAGCAGAATTGTCTGACAGTGACTTTCCAGTTCTCCCAACATTTCTACAATGTGTCCCTGATGATAACACTATCAAGGCCTTGGGGCTGGCAGACAAAGAGGTCTTTCTGAAACAGTTAAAGTTGGTGAGGAGGGGCCTTACTTTAATATGAGTTGAGTCATAATTAGAAATTAATCACGGAAGGGTATGTCTGTCACAGACATCTTTCCTCACAGTTAAATAATCTCATTTCTTCCCCATCTCTAGTTCTTAGACACCAACCATTTATTTTTCCTTCTATTTGATCCATTGGTAAAACCTAAGAGATTGTGCTTCAGTAAACTATCTTTTCTAATTAATAACTGGTTGCCCAAAAACATTCTTTGTTTCTTTTTCATGATGATGATGATTCTTCATATATTTCCTTTTTTATATGGCCACTTTGGCTTTTAAAGTGTCAATGGCATAACTCACAGCTGCTAGAGGTGCAACCCTGTGGGCTGAAGACACAGAAATAATTATGCTTGCTTCTGACACTGGAACCAAGCCAAGTCTATGGAACACTGCTATGTATTTTACCAGGCATTTCTGCCTAATGTCACTACAAATTTTTCTGATTTTATTTTCTGCCATTGGTATATATGCTTCATATTCTAAGCTAACGACTTTTTTCCCTTCAAAGTTATTTCTTGTAGTCCCTACAAATAAGGACACTGCACCACACACTGGAGAAATCACCAACTGTGAGACTTCATCTACTGAAAGTTTCTCGGCACTGCATTTTATTATGTCTTTAGATTTCTCTTCAACTTCATCCATATTTTTCTCACATGGCAGTAAACCATTATCCTCCACTAATTGGGGGGATAATGGCAAGTTTGTTTCCTGGTTGCAGCTGGAAGAGCTGATCTCCCAGCTCAACATACTCTCGACGAACAGCAAATATCACCTGATTTTTAATATGAGGCAATCCAGGATGTCGAGTTTCTATCTCTTTCCAAAGCTGCAACACTTTTATTTCTTGTGGCACAGAAATGGTCTCTGAATGAATTCCCACTATTTCAGGACTTTTTGTAAAATACAATACTTCAACCTGGTAGCTGGGTACCATCCCACCTCCTAGGATTTCAGTTTTTGATCATTTAGTATGATATTGGCTGTAGGTTTTTCACAGATGGCTTTTATCAAATTGAGATAGAGACAATCTATTCCAATTTTTGTAGGGCTTTTCTCATAAATGCATGTTGGATTTTGTCAAATGCTTTTTCTGCATCTATTGAAATGGTGATATGGTTTTTGACCTTGGCTCTATTGATATAGTGTATTACATTGATTGATTTGCATATATGGAACCATCCCTGCATCCTTGGGATGAACCCCAATTGGTCAGGATGTACGATCTTCTTGATGATCTTCTGCATTCTATTTGCCAGTATCTTAGTAAGGATTTTTGCATCTATGTTCATTAGTGAGACTGGCCTATAGCTCTCTTTTTTGGTTGGGTCTTTCTCTGCTTTGGGGATGAAGGTGATGCTTGCTTCCAGGAATGAATTCGGGAATATTTCTTCCCTTTCAATTTCATTGAAGAGTTTAAACAGTAGTGGCAGTAGTTCCTCTCTAAATGTCTTGTAGAATTTGGCAGTGAAGCCATCAAGGCCTGGGCTTTTCTTAGTTGGTAAGTTTTTAATTATGTTTTCAATTTCATTGATTGATATTGGGTTGTTTAGAATTTTTAGGTCTTCTTCATTCAACTTGGCTAATTCATATGTATCTAGGAATCTGTCCATTTCTTCTGTGTTTTCCATCTTTTTGGGGTGTAGGTTCTCAAAGTAGGTATTGATGATCCTCTGGACTTCTGCTGGGTCTGTTGTAATTTCACCCTTTTCATTCCTAATTGCATGGATTTGGGCTTTTCCTTTCTTTTTTCTGATAAGCTTGGCTAAGGGTTTGTCAATTTTGTTTATTCCTTCGAAGAACCAACTCTTGGCTTCATTGATATTTTGTATCGCTTTCTTCGTCTCCATTGCATTGATTTCCACTGTGATCTTTATAATTTTCCCCCTTGTATAAGCTTTGGTTTTGCCCTGCTCTTCTTTTTCTAGAAGCCTGAGTTTCAGCATCAGGTTGTTTGATTAGACTTGCTCTGTTTTCCTAATATGAGTATTCACTGCTATGAATTTCCCT